ACGTCTTGTTCTGTGCTTTGCACAGTTGATTCTTCTCCCTTGAATCTAATATTCATAAACAAGCAACAAGTTAAACATATTGCTTAGAGGTTTATCATACAATCCTCGTTAGCTGGATGGGAGTTAAACCACGATGATCTAACTGTCTAGACCAATGACCCAAAGTTTCACTTTTTGATACATTAAAAGACAAATCATGCATGTGACGGGAAATGTTTCAATTCTAAAGATAACATACAAAATTTCAGATGCTAAAGAATCAACTGCGCAAAGCACTGATCAATTCAATTTTACCCTGGTCGTAATCTCCTTCAGACACTTTATTTATTTATTTATTTTGTTTAGTTATTATAATTCTATAAGCCATTTTCGATGACCTTGAGTTGATCTTCTAGCCGTCACCACCTTGTGACTTTATTGACCCATTCATTAACTATTGGCAGATATATGTATATATACGTTTGCACAACTTTTGAAAATAATTCGTTGAAAAATTTTTTTCGCTTCCATCGCCTTCTGCTTTGGAGATAAGCGTAACAACATAGATCGTAACGTAGCACAATGCCAACTCCGATATTGATAATAACTGACTGAAGGTTATGCGTAAACTTATTCTCAAAAATCTCAATTTTTATCCTACAAAGTATTCCATGAAGCTATGCAAGTCACTGGACTTGCAGATTCAACTTCAAGATGACTGGTCATGTGATGCAAACACCAGATCAATCATCAGAGATCAGAGCAACTAGATAAATTGAAAAAAGATGTAAGAGGCAGCTAGACTAAAACATAGTATCAATCCATGAAGCTAGTCTTCGACTATGAGGTAGATGGTATGCCGATAAACAATCTTCAAAGACGCCTAGAATGCTGGGCAGAGCACTTCGAAAAGCAGTTTAGCTGGCGCACGGCTTCAGAATCTTTAGTTTCAGTGTATCCTGCTCCATGGTCAATTAACATTGACCCACCTAAAGAAGAGGAGGATCATAAGGAACTGGATATTCTCGAACGCTACAAGGAACCCTATCTAGACAACCTACCCCCGGCTCTTTTTAAAGATGGAGGAACGACCGTATTCAAGGAAATGACTAAATTGTTCGAGAAGGTATGGCAGACTCAGAGTGTTCCATCAGTCTGGAATGAAGACATCTTTACAAAAACTTCTACGTAGTGTATATGACAATCATCGGGGTGTTAGTCTGTTACCAGTAGTGTAGAAAATATTGGCTGCTATCATACATCCCACACTTTGCAAAGAATGTGAGGAAATGATTCGCGAGTAGCAGGCTGAGTTTCGTTTAGGTCGTGGATGCATGGATCATGTGTTTTACCTCCACCACATGTTTAAACATAGCCAGATATACTGTAGACCAACAATCGCTGTTTCTTGATATTGGAGCTGTCTTCCATTCGTTGGACAGAGATGTACTCTGAAATTCTGTTGAAGAAGAGTGTGCCTGAGAAATTTTTTAACATCTTGAAATCCCTATATAATAACACCTCAGGTAGAGTGAGGGCATAAAACTATTTGTCTCCATTTTTTTCAAAACCAGCAGTAAGATTAAGGATGGTTGCCCGATTTCTCCATCCCTCTTTAACTTTGCCACCAATGACATTCTTGAAACAGCTCTGAAGAGGTGTGTGATGGTGGAGCAGATCTACTACCCGGAGAACGGCTATTCGACCTTGAGTATGCAGATGAAATCGTCTTACTGTGCGATAACATATAGGCTGCTTAAATGGCATTAATCAGTTGGTGATTAGTTCCCGTAAGTATGTTATGTGCTTTGCACTATTCAAGTGAAAAAGTATTCTAGCATGATTCGAAGGAGCCTGTGCCTGAACTTACCCTTGGTGGTAAGTCGTTGGAAGTACTCGATAATTTCGTGCATGTGGATAGTTGTGTGAGTGCTGGTAGAGGAGTGTGATGAAATTTCTAACCGCATATCGAATGCAAGAGTCGGATACATCAATCAGAGTCACCTTTGGTGCCATTGTGAGGTTAGTACGACCAAAAGACGTCGGTTTGACAACGCCTCGGTACAACGACTCTGTGTATTCGATCATCGTTTTCTCCATAGGACTGCTCATATCCGGTAGCAATACCATGTAAGTGATTCCGAGGTTCGAAAGCATGTGTTTGGGCATGATGGAGATCGTTATTCAATAAGTGAAGTCCCAACGACTTCCATACCGTTCACCGTTTGCTAGCCCCTGGGACTGTATGAAAGAAGCAGAAGGGTAGTTAATGTCGTAGGATGAAGGATAGTTGTATCAGGTCAGCATCTATTGGTGCATAACAATTCCTAGGTGGGATCCGATAGATCGCGTAACTCAGTGACTTCAGACATTATCAGATATGGCCCGGAATCGAAACCAATGGTGGTCATGCTGTAGCTTTCTTCTATCTTCTGCTGCTGAAAAGTAGTGTCTTCACATTGCTGTTATACTATTTTGTGTGGCGGATTTCTTGGTGCCCTAGCTGTACTAAGTTTGTGTTCTAATAATAATAATAATAATAATAAAGCAATATTTCCAGATCTCATGTTGATACTGACTGACTGTCACCTCAAAGGCTAGTAGATAAACACGCATTCATCATGTCATTGTAATGAAAACAGTATTTTTTCTTGACACGGAATTTTAGTGATAGATGGATAAATAAAAGTGCAAACCTTTCTAAGTAATTAGTTTTGCTAATTTCTTCTCCTTTTTCAATTAGTCTTTTTAGAAGAGATTGATAAAAAGTTTTATAATACACCAAATAATAATATAACAATCATAATTATTACTATTAGTAATTTTATTGGCACTATATGGAATGCACTTCATACGTAAAGGACAGAAGACACTTTATACATGTCATAAGTACATACTATGTAAGATAAAGACAGTGAGGGAAGAAATGGCAAAACTTTGTACTTCAATATGTATGCTGAGACTTCTCTTACTACATATTACTATTATTATTATTACAGCTACACATTCAGCAATCTGTATTCATCAGTTCTTTCTGTCTTAGTAATAGAGAATCGTCTGTCACCTGAGCTTACCAAACTTTCAAACTCCAGTTGTTTTTGAAGCCAGGGACTTCATCGACTAGTGTCACATCTTGGTTTGGTCACCCTCAACCCTCCCACAACCTAACCTAACTTCCCTTAGTATTGAACTTCGAGGTAGGCGGTGACTTGACATGGCCAATACATGTGAAAGCCAACTCAGTCGATGAATGTTGACACCCTCATCAATAGACTTGTCAACCTTCTTTGCCTAGTACCCTTCACCTGACCTCAACAATCGCTTCCACGGTGGTTCCAGCAAACGCAAGCAAGGATACCAAGATACCTGTGATCAGAACCCTGTAACCACTTCATGTCTTCTACTTTTAGAGGCCGTGTCTCCACGCCATATATCACGACAGAATGGACTGCAGTGCATTATATTCTTCCTTCGATAAACAGTCGGATGAAACAAATTATCCTGAACACAATAGCGCAGAGAAGTTCCTTCATTGGCTTAATCCAACGGAACTAGATAACTATTGAAATTAGATCCAATTACCTCTAGCGATCTGAAGTGTGATCATTCAGCCGGTAGGTTAAAGTTATTGAAAAAAAAATAAGAACTGCTAAACGTATGATGAAGTGGTTGCAAAAACAAAATAAAGCAGGTTGCAAACTAAAATAAACAACCAAGGAAACAAGAAATTCATTCTTACTTATCTTGATGACTAGTAGAGGAATCCAGCTTGACGCATGTCTCCTCCTATTTAAAACTCGTCAGTTGGATATACCTGCACCCCAAGTGCGGAGTGATGTTGTTCCCACCGAGGCTTGAGCCCAGTACCCTTCGCTCCAAGTGCCAGAGCGCTATCTACTAAGCCGCTTGGGCATGATAACTACCTCTTGTGCATCACTTGTTGTAATTCCCCGTTGAATTGCTCGACCTCTATTGGCAGATGGGTCCCTCTATGCGAATGCCTCGATACTGCCGGATATTCACGGTGTTATACTGATGTTGGTGACTAGCAGAGGAATCCAGGACGCATGTTTCGGGCAATTCAGCCCTGTATAGTAACAGGAAATCAAAAGCATCAAACAACAACTGATACCTGTTGCACAAAAGGTGGCTATCATGCCCCAGTGGCTTAGTGGATAACGCTCTGGCGTTTGAAGCGAAAAGTACTGCGTTCGAGTCCCCGCATTAAGGTGCAGGTACGTTCAGCTGACGAGTCCTAAATAGGACGAAACGAAAGTCGAGTTCCTCTGCTAATCACAAAGGTCAACATAAAGTCATGGATATCTTGCAGTATCGATGTGCCCGTATAGGAGCCCATCTGTCAACAGAAGTCAAGCAATTCAGCCCCATATAGCAACGGGAAATTACAAGTATTATTACAAAAGACATTCATTTTTGTCTATAAATATCTATTATATTCTGTTCATTGGAAATGTCACACAGTGAAATAGTATCATTTAGTGTTACTGAACTGAAATTACCAATCCTACCATTAACCAAGATATCCATTATTCGAAGTCAATAGCAGAATCATGTTGACCATGAAGTTTAAATTAAGAAGCAATGAGACTGAATTGATCTATCTCATTGGCGACTAGCTTTGATAGGTGATTCCTGAAGTTCCATTGACAAGTCATGACCGGTGAAGAAAACCTGATGGACGTGAGAATAAATACTCAACAATCACATTAAGCGATGATTGCGCCATGTCATGAACTGATAGAAGTAGGAAATATGAACCATTGGATTTCGATCCAGCGGTTCGATGGTTACGTGCTGACCACGGGACTTGAACATCTTGGGTTCTATCCCTGGAGGGTGGGGAGCATGGGTGCGCACTGCTGAGGAGTACCATACTAAGACGAAACACATAACCAAGACAAACGCAGATAAAAATGATACACAATACAGTCTGGTACAAAAGTGAGTCAGATCAACCAGTGTATATTAATTTTGTTTATAAAAAAAACATTTAAACTTACTAAACCAGCACCATATGTTGACAACTTATCACCTGGTTCCAACTGAAAACCGCCTGACACCAAAAGAATTTGTTTGTTCAATGGTAGGTCAAAATCATGCGCCAATACATTACGTAAACTTGAAACCCTTAGGAAGTAAAATCAATTAAGGGTAGTTGGTTTTTAGTGATATCTAATATGTGCTATTAGAAAGTTAGTTAAATTGATAAGTTGAAGACAAACAAACTTCGTATACAAGTCGATGCAGATTTGAGATGCTACAGCATTTTACTGAAGTATGAGGAGAAAAAGAATGACACCGAAATAGACCAAAGTGTATGAGATAACATCAACCACACAACCTCGTAACTGTTTAATGTCCTAAGATAGCCTCCGCCTGTACAGACAGATACACAGGCTACGACTGGATAGTGTTTCTTGCTACACGTCGAAATTGAAAATTCACGGTCGCCTATGGTTAGAAGATGAAAAACGTTTACCGCTAACGCTCAATAACAGCTCAAATAATTCAGATATTCAAATTATGCTTTTTTTAATAATGACATTTCTGAAATTGCTACAGTAGTTACACGAAATAACACTAACTTATTTTTGATAGTACAATATTACCTTAGTGCGGGACTCTTAAGCAGTACGCACTCATGACCCTCAGTTCCCACGGACAGCCCATTACCATGATGAATATCGATCTGAAATCTCAACAAACCACCAAATTTAATTACTTTTGAGCCCTCATTGGTGATTTGCTTCGGAATGAGATTCCCTAAGTTGTGATCAGCGGGGACAACCAAGATGGACGTAAGAACAATTATTCAACAACGGCATTAAACGAAGGTCGCACTATTCGTGAACAGACCAGAGTAGGAAGTGTGGACTATTGGATTCCGACCCTGTGGCTCATCGACAACGTGCTGATGGCCGCGGAACCCGAAGCCCCTAAGTTCGATTCCTGGCGGGACGGGGTCATGGGTGCGCGCTGTCAAGGAGTCCCATACTGGGACGAAACAGATTTTCAGTGCTCCCAGGTCTCCAGTGGCTTTCAAGTTCGTGATGAATGTCAACCTGAAACTAATGAATAAATCCCCTATAAATCTCGAAAATGACATACAATAGTACTTAGAAAAGTAGAGTTACATATGACCCAGACTTTAGACATTCTACGTGTCTACGTCAAGATTAAAGAACAAGGTCATATGAAGCAGTTCTATTACTACCGATCTTTCATTACGACATCTGATATATTTCGCAGTGCATACGTCCCATCACATAGACCATAAGCATACGTATATGATCATATGAATTAACACTATCTGTCTGACCGATTATGTCATATGACAAGAAACTAGATAAACAAACAGTTGGCTAGTTGGATAGACAAACAGATACTAGATGAGGTAGACGAAAACAGCTAGAACTATTTAACAAATTGATAGTGGAAGAATGTGGTGTATGCGTGTATAGCCATTGGGAACAAACTGAGATTTTATATCTGCAGGACAAATAGTTACATTGAACTGAGAGAAGAAAGCATACGCCTTTTACAAGATTTCCAAGGCAGTAAACGATAATTTAATAAGTTAGAGAAATGAAATATGGACCGATGTTATTTTCGATACTCGGTGGTGATTGAAGGTGAAATGAAAATTTCGACCTCGACCGGATTCGAACAAGCTAACACCGGGTTTCCGGCCCAATGTTCTACCAACTGACCTATGAGGTCCGACTGCTAACCAGATTCTTATTTCACTTCAATCACCAAGAGTTATACCTCGACTATGTGAATTCGTGATGCGTTACTACCGTCTGATCGAACCTTGTAGCTTAGTTAGTACAGCATCAGGCCAGAAACCCGATGGTCGCTGGTTCGTATCCGGCCACGGTCAAAATTTTCATTTCGCTTTCAATTACCACCCAGTATCAATAAAACTAGTCTACCAAACCACAGCTATCTCGCTCAGATAGTCAAGATGATAATCAATACGATACTCCCGCTCTCCCTCTCTCTCTCTCTCTCTCTCTCTCTCTCTCTCTCCAATTCACTTAGATTTCGATTTGGATGAGAAATCCTGACTAGGTGGCAGTAGCAGCCAGTGTGAATACGATCAGGCGGTAGTAATACATCACGAATTCACATGGTAGCCAGGTGAAATCCTTGGTGATTAAAGAAATCAAATAAAAATGTGATCAGCAGTCAGACCTCGTAGTTCAGTTAGTAGATCATCCTGCCGGGAACCCGTTAGTTGCTGGTTCGAATCCACCTGCGGTTCAAATTTTTACTTTACCATCCAGTAAATACTGATGTTTTGGAAGATGTGCAGTATCTCGATTAGCAAAGAAAGCGGGAGATATTGTATGGACAGATGTAATGCAAATCATAGCTTGAATATAACATGGAGTAATCGACTCTGCGTTTCTGCACTTGTTGAAGATGGCAGGTATGAACAGCCTTCAACAGGTTTCTGATCACAGATGTCTTCAAAGTATTGCTATTGGACTATGCGACTATAGAGTAAGCAATATTGACGTTAGACAGAGAGTATTAGGCCAAGAAAGCAAGACAAGAGATTCATTTACGACCTTCCACAAAACAAGGTTGTTGGGACACATGTGATACGTGGTAAACCACCACCTATATCGACGTGTGGCAGTGTAGTGAGGAGTAGACTACGGTTGGCTAATGTCCTCAAAATGTTGGGGATCACTTAGTTGGAAATTCCTAATGACTCAGTGAAATAGCCCAAAGTGAATACAGAATTAAATCCCAAAAGGATATGAAACACCAGTAGTCAAATGTTTACCAAGAATATAATTTCATGTTTTTGGCTAGAATCCAAAAATGTTACAGAAAGATGATCTATAGATACATTTACCCGATAATCCTATAGTATCTGATAAACTTTTAGAGTTGATACATTATAAACTATATAGAATCTTGGTTCAATAATCTGACCACCTAAACTACATTAATGACAATATTCTGCTTAAACTACTTCCCGGTCATTATGAAGGGAGGGGGTGGGGACACGGCAAGACAGATCTACACGAAAGTGTATTTACAATCCATCCATCGAACCTCAGACCTGTTTGATAATTTGAAATACCACGGATATTATGAAAAGTACAACAGGAGGTAGGTAGGTAGCAGTAGTGTAAGAAAATAACAATAATTTATTTCAACAAAACAATAAGAAGGAGAAAATTGTCTGAACAACCTTTTTCGAATAATCTGATCACTAGTGGAAATCAACAAGCCAGCATACTCTCCCAAAGTCTTACACAGCATGTCAAAGACTATCATACATAAATAGGGAGGATTTATACATCTATGCAAGTAAGCGCCTTGGAGCATATTTCCCAGTGGCCTCAGAAATAAACTGAATCACCAGAACCCACCCATAAACACTGCTAGAAGACGTTCAAGTTCTTCGATTGTGAAACACATTGTTGAAACATTTCACCGGATTTACGTTTTCTTCATCCTATAAACCTATTTAAAAAATGTGTTGGAAATAGATCCTCAGATTAATTGGCGCTTTGGCTATTGGAAAGTGTAAGCCACCATCATATGTTCAAAAACACTTGGTTACCCACATTAAATCTTCCTTGATAAATATTCAACCCTGAAGTCAAATTTCATATGCTATTATTTTTGCTCTATTGATTTTTATGTTCGTTAGCCTTTAATTTAGCCTTTCTACTTTACCTCTGTTCATATTCTCACCCATTATCTCTCTCCCTTACAAATTTTCATATAAATACTTATGTCAAGTATGTAAATATATATATATATATATATATATATATATATATATATATATATATATATATGATCAGACTGTTTGGAGTGTGTTTCACAAGTATACATTATCTGAGATAACTGTAGTTTGGCAGACTAGTACTTATATTGAGTGATGACTTAAGGTGAAATGAAAATCTGAACCGCAGGTGGATTCGAACCAGCAACTAACGGGTTCCCGGCAGGATGATCTACTAACTGAACTACGAGGTCTGACTGCTGATCACATTTTTATTTGATTTCTTTAATCACCAAGGATTTCACCTGGCTACCATGTGAATTCGTGATGTATTACTACCGCCTGATCGTATTCACACTGGCTGCTACTGCCACCTAGTCAGGATTTCTCATCCAAATCGAAATCTAAGTGAATTGGAGAGAGGGAGAGCGGGAGTATCGTATTGATTATCATCTTGACTATCTGAGCGAGATAGCTGTGGTTTGGTAGACTAGTTTTATTGAGACTGGGTGGTAATTGAAGGTGAAATAAAAATCTGGTCAGCTTAGTTGGTAGGTCACTTGGTTAGAATCCGACCGCAGCCCAGATTTCCATTGTATGGTTTAGACAATTTATGTCTTCTTATTGTTTCGTTGAAGTTTATAATGGCAAATAATTGGTTTAAATAATTTATTCACATATTTACTAAAAAGATAAATAAATCTCTTCTTACGTCTGAGATAGTAAATTATCATCCAAAGAGACCAGACGACCTTGATCCATCAAAAAGATATACATGATGATGAGGAGGAGGATGATAGCTAGAACCAATATGTAGAAAAATGGACAACAATAAAAGAAAATGTTTAAAAAGTTCACAATGACTGATAAAAACTGACTTGTACGTGCATTAAAGTAACATTTTAAGGGAGTGATAGTAGAGTTTATATTTCTGTTGATAATAATAACCATTAAATATAAATAAGAAGGGATTACCATGAATAGATATCATTGATTTCATAAATATTCATTTATGAGCTTATGAGTTTGATCTATAATGCACTAGGGAGATTTGGTTTGTCGATGGGTGATGAATTCGAAGTTATTCTGACTTTTCAAGGTTTAAGTGAATAAATAGTATCATTATTAACTGTGATACAATAGGTTTAGTTGATTGCCTAGTACATGGGACTTTTATACTATTGTTGTTACATTTTTTCACTCTCATGGTTTGGATACCCAGGCCAAAGGAGATGAAGTCACGTATAAACGAAAAATTCATTGCTTTTTGCACGAAATGAAGTTCCAGAAGTAACTGAATATTCATAATTTTATTCTTTAACCCAGGGAAATAGGATTGGTAACTTTGAATCAATGGGGTCGTGTGGTGGTAACCCATTTCACCTACGAAGATTTAAGGCTTCAGGTATTTGACCACCTCCGTCTTCGCAGTATACGCCGTATTCCGTGATGTCACCACCTGAGTAATGCAGAAGTCAGGATCAGGTGTAGAGTTTTAGGGAGAAGAGGTAAATCAGTTGACACGGTTGTTGTGAACCTTCATCGACTGAGATGGTTGACTCTGACTCTGACACGTACTACGTATGCCTAGTCACCGATTGCGTCGTCACACAATGTTGGCTGAAGTAGGTCCAGGCTGGAAAAGGGCTGATGGTGGCCACACTAAACATATGGTATCAATGCACGAAGTCTTCGAGTGTTTGTTTGAGCCACGTGAGGCGATGCAGACTAGGTGGTTGGGTTCTATGGGACAAGAGGAAATAGTGAGTGGTTGGAGACTGACTGTAGGTGATGACATGTCTGAGAACCGATGTCAGTGGGAGGCAGATGTATACACACACATTATCTATCCTCATCTTAACGATGCTATACCAAATCTCACCATTTTCTCAGTTTTCCTTCCTCTCTTTTAATAGTTTGTATTTCTTTAGACTGAATTTTTTTATCTTCACCTTCCACTTGACTGCCTTGTTTACTTGATGTGGTGATATGTGAGGTGTGTCAAGTTGGACCGTTACACAGTAATGCCTGGTCCTATGTTGATCGATGAAGATGATGACAGAAAAGGTCCTAAGTCATTCTTGTCACATGCATTAGGTGTTGATTCGAAAACACAAAGACTCAGTTATCAATCTCTCCCTCCACGATGCTATGTTAGTTCTCAGAAATTTTACCCTATCCCATTTTAATGTTTGGTTGTGTGTAATTGAATGTATAGTGATGACCGAGCTAAATTCCTAATCTTACTAGGGTTAACCAATTCTGGCGATTGCGAGGTCAAATACATTCGTAAAAGTAGTCGACCAGGGTCAATTATAGGCTATCTGAGCACAAAAGCCTAGCAAGGTCAAAATCGGTAGATCCTAGTAACATAAGGAACCTAGGGGAAATATCGACTGTAAACTATGCATGATATAAAAAATAATGTCTGGAACATAATCCAGTACACAAGACTTTTCCACCATGATAAATCTAATACATCAACTAAAATGGAATTTCAAGTTTTACCTCATATACATGTGTACGTACCTACTAAGACTTATTTTAAGCTGAGGAATGAATTACAACAGGGTGAGAACAGCGGATCCTACTATCGAAGAAATATACTGCATTTTCATCCATTTAGAAAACATTAATTTGTTCGGCTGAAGAAGCTGTGACTTGTGCAGCGAAATGTTCAGGAGAACCTTTTGGTTTTCTAAACATTTTAATATTTGTGACCCAGTGAATAATGCTATGGTGTTTGAAGCGACGGGTACTCGGTTCAAGCGTCACTGGGGTACAGGTACACCTAGTTGACGAGTCCTAAACAGAACGAAACGTGCTTCTTGGATGGTGAGTAATCAGGTAATAATCGAGGCACCCATGTAGGAACATATGTGTCAACAGAGATCCAGCTATTTGACACAGCATAACAAAGAGAGATTACAAGTATCAAAGAAAACCTGATACTCGTTGCTCAAGAGGTGGCTTTTCTGACCAAGTGGCCTAACGGATGATGCATCGACATTTGAAATGATAGGTACTGGGTTCGAGACCCGATTGGAACAACATCACCCCCTGGAGTGCATGTACATCCAACTGGCGAATCTTAAAAAATAGGACGAAACCCATGTCCTGGGTTTCACTGCTAGTCACAAAGATCGAATTGTTTACCCTGCACACATAGCGACATAACAATCAACCAAGTATAGACTCCTACCAAACTGCTTCGAAATGTCAAACACACAAAAACTTGGACCCACCACCACCTTCGAAACAAACAAGTACAAGTCAACTTCCGATACGATGAATGACAAAAAGTTTAAGAAAAGTACTATATTCACATAGTATGAATAAATAAGGACTTACAACTTTTTATACAAATTTATACAATCTAGCGTAAAAGGTGGTTTCTTCAAAATCCAACTACCATAATGATTTACAGTGTTAATGTCCAGAGGTACTACTAATGTAATGAACATTCAGATTGTTGATTTATTACTGCTACAGTAACAATATTCATAAAGACCTAAGAATAAAAATGAAAACGAATCGAAACTGATATTCAGTTATTATTGTCAACAAGACTTGTGAAATGAAAAGCAACTCAATAATGAGTACAATATACACACATGAGTTAGACAGATAGACCTATATTAAAAAAATATGCACAATGAGAGCATCCTATCAACTTGCTACTTCTATGCACCGTACAATAATTCAAGAAAAAGTAAGGAATGAAGTTGAAATAGACTCAGCATTCTTGTGGACATTCAGACAGATAAATGGAATGCATGTACAACTTCGCACACAAATGTACTGGCTCAAGTTATTACACTTCAAAGTAGTATATAAAGAACAGCTGGATAGCAAAAGAGAGATAACAGAGTAGACGAATTTGTATAAGAGAACAAACAATCTGATCAAGCTTTAGAAGATATCAAAGAGTGAATACATCTGTGCTATTGCAATCGATTTCCAGCCATGTCAACTACTGATTTTTATTATTTCGGCGACTCCAGAGAAGCAGTTTACATCTCTCCACAGAGACCAGCAGCCATAAACTGCATGGACTGGTGGCACGTCTTGGTTTGGCCATTCACAACCATCTTCCAACTTAATCCAACTTCCCCTAGCATGGCACGTCAAGGTAGGCGCTGATTCGGAACATGCAACACATATCCAGGCGGCCTCGGCGGATGAAGGTCCACAACTTCAGCAAAGAACTCAAGCATTCGTGTAGTAGGCAATGAGCTATACCTATTATGTGAGGGATATGCAGTGGGATCCGAACACGTGACCCAATGCTTGAAAGTTATCTTCCTAAACCAATGAGGACCAGCTCCACAAGGAAAATAAGTAGAAAGATATTGAAACCAGCAAGTAGTAAAGAGAATAATAAATGAAGTGTAATAAGACGTTCAGACTTTTGATGACATCAAATGTCATGAATTTTGAGCCATTTTACCTCCAGTGTTTACTTATCTATTTCTAGCATCTGCATAACCCACAGATAAGCAGCCTACACTTCCTCAAATGCAAGGGCGTTGGTACAACCTACTGAGGCGGAACAGACTTTAAACACGTGAGTAGTGCAGGATAATGAACCACAGTATGAAAAAGTTCATGCCATATTATACAACAAAAAGTAGTGACTGAATTAGTCAAACAGTGAACATTGTAGGGACATACCACCACTGCCCAATGGGCAGAAATTGCCACACTTCACATCAAGATATGGGGCGCAAAGACGAAAAAGAAATACAGAAAGAAGTTAAAAGTAGTAGAAAAAAAGTAAGAAGGAATGACAGGATGCTTAAATTCGGTGTGACGACTAAAATGAAGACAATGTGTGGATACATTTGCACCACTGAAGATCCATTATGTGTCACATCACCCAGAGTCGGCAACCTCTGGTTTCTGTTGCTACGCGAACCCCGACCTGGAGGTCAACAATTCCCTACACGACTCTGACCAACAGTCAAGGACCCCCTTCATCCATTGATGCCATGTTTTAATCTGGTTGCCTCTAGTAGTTTTCCACCCTACACCTAATTCGGCTAATATTGCGCAACGAGGTAGATGGGGATTACACGTGTCCCAGCTGAGTCGAAGATTCATAACTTTACTAACTGACTTTCCTATTTTGCCTCAAGCTCTGAGCCTGACATGTACGTTACTGACGTCGTGGCACCGAGACGCAGCCTACGCCGGAGGTAAGTGGTCAAACACAGGTAATACGACATCCCTTTTTATGAAAGATACTGCAACAAAACTCCTTGACTGACAGAGTCCAGTTCAGCCTTCAGATCAAAAAAATACAGCTAGTTTTGGGCAGCGGTAAGCGTACTCACCTGTCGAGTGAATATCTGGTCGCTAAACCCACGACCGGGTTTGAAGCATCTGATTTTCTTCAAGTTAGCTGTTCCTGAGCTTCACTTCGTCAGACCGATTTCTCTGTGGTTATCACAAGAGAATTGCTCGCCTTTCTTGCAGACTGAGAGAATCAGCGATTAAGACCAGTAAGAAGTGATCATATCTGATTCTCGTACGCTAGGTAACACTTTAAGTAATCTAAACAATAAATTTTGACAACTATACTATCACTAAACTATCGGTGAAACTACTTTGTTTTCTGTCTTGTTGGCTTTCCAATCTTGTGGCATTTTGAAGAGCAGTGAATTGAGCTGATAGGCACTTACAGTCAAACTTGCTGATGTTAAAGTGAATATACTATAATAGAACAAGGTTTGTTCTTGAGGTAGACAAGGTTTAATAGATACTAACCAGCGATC